CTAAACAAAACCCAAAACCCCTGGTAAGGAAATGCATAGTTGGCAAGTTACAGATCATTTAATTTTCACTTGAGTTTAGCTAAAATCGATTACGGAGAACTCGTTGCCAATAGAACACTTGTCGTGATGTCAACTAAACAAAAACCTAAATCCGGTGGTAAGGAAATGCTCAGTTGCCTCTTATATTTATTTTAACTCTTAACATATATCCCAATCTAAACTAAAGTGAAAATGAAACCATCTATGACTTGGCAACTAAGCATTTTTTTACTAAGAGATTTGTTTAGTCGTTAATATGACAAGCGTTTCCATGGCAACAGTTTCTCCATAAGATCACGCTTCGCTCCTCCCACCCACCTCCTAACAAGTACAGAGGAGAGCAAGCGAAGCGAGCACGCACGCGAATTTCGAAACGTCGCCCGGTCGCGCCTTTTTTCCGCCTAAACCATAAGATCATGCTACGCTCCTCCCACCCACCTCTTAACCACTACTTGGCAACTACGCATTTCCTCACCACAATATCTGGGTTTTTGTTTAGTCTTTAGAATAACAAGCGTTTCCATGGCAACCTTTTTTCCATAACTGATTTCGGCTAAACAAAATGAAAATTAAATGACTTGGCAACTACGCATTTCCTCACTGCTGGATTTGGGTTTTTGTTTAGTCGTTAGCATGACAAGCGTTTCCACGGCGACAGTTTCTTCATAACTGATTTTGACTAAACTAAAATGAACATTAAATGATCTAAAACTTGGTAACTACGCATTTCCTCACTACGAGATTTGGGTTTTTGTTTAGTCGTTGACATGACAAGCGTTCCCATGGCAACAGTTTTTCCATAACTGATTTCGGCTAAACTGAAGTGAACATTAAATGATCTATGACTTGGCAACTAAGTATTTTCCCACTATGAGATTTGGGTTTTTGTTTAGTCGGTAACATGACAAGCGTGTCCATGGCAACATTTTTTGTATAAGTGATTTCAGCTAAATGAAATTAAACAAAAACCCCCAATCATCTACAACTTGGCAACTACGCATTTCCTCACCATAAGATTAGGGTTTTTGTTTACTTATAGCCATCACAATTGTTATCATGACAACAGTTTTTGTATTACAGATTTAGGCTAAACGAAAGTTGAGCCAAGATTGGCTTCATATCAAAAAGAAGCAGCCAGACTTGCGGTATACTAAAAATAGCAAAAAATATGGAACCACTATCAAGGATGATCAAAGGTTTTTATCAAAAATATCGAACAGTAGTGAGAAAAAAATGGGGCACGACATTTTCGGAATGTAGAAAGAATGAAAAAGAATGGTATGTCCCAGTGTTTAGTTTACAGACTCTAGTACCCACTCCGTATATTTAGCATAAAAAGTCCCGAATTTATTAGTCTATAAATTCTACTTTTATTTTCGCTTACTCGTGCATTTTAAGGTCATTTAAAGGTCAACTATGTTTTTAAAGGATAGCATATATTTTTAAATGCCCAATGTAGTTTATTAAGAAATAATGAATAGTTTTTGTCTAAACTAATTGTTTTTACTTTCTCCCCCAGTTTTCAATAATAAAGCTGTGTAGTCAAAATAGGCAAACCTTACCCTTAGTACAGGGTCACAGAGAACATAAGGTCAATAAAGAGGAAGATTTACTTGCCTGAGAAGGAGCCTCAAAGGCTCATAGCCCAGAACACTTCTGTTGTATCAAATGTTAAACAAATTTCAGGAATGATGGAATAATTCACCAGGACAGAGACAGGCCAGAGAGTTCTTAGAAGGACCATCGTCAAATTCACTGAGCATCTACTAAGCCAGAATGTGAAAAATACTGCAGTACTAGTATTCCTATTGACAGGGCATTGTAGGTTTAACAAACATATATAACATCGGCCTGACAGAAGAAATCTTGTGTCGATTCTGTCAGGAAGAGGGGGAAAATGCAGTACATGTATTGTGCTAATGCGAAGGTCTAAGCCTGATATTCCTTTCACTCGGAAAAGAAAATCCAAGGGCAACTGCAGAAGACCAAACTTGACAAGGTATTCTACCCAACGAATAAAGAATAGATCTGAAAATGTTTTTAATTTTGGAGAATGTAGTAAGAATTCTCGAAAAGCAATCTTTGTGTATCCAAAATGATTTCCAGGACCATCTCACTTGATATTCAGGAAACTAGAGGTAAATTTAAGAACTGGTTCTTTTCCTTTAAGTGTAAGGCATGAAAATTATCAAGCTACTGCTAGAATTACAATAAAAGTTTTGGCCAACTTAGTGATAAACCAGACTTGATTTTACAGCACGTTTTAGAAGAAGAAAATCCGAATATACTGTATTCTCTGGAGTGATGAAAGTTGTGTTTATAACAATGATATGGTGAACAAATCTAATGCTTATTGCTGATCAAACCAAATTCCACTATGAGTGCGAGAAGTACACATTCAGATGGTTTGGGAAACTAAGATTGGTGTGTTCTATTTAATGAGCATTTAATTGCTCCTTATTTTTATAAAGGAACTCTAACCGGACAAGGTTATTTTATGTTTTTTGCAAAATGACCTGCCAGGTTTATTCGAAGATATTCCTTTGAATGAATGACAAGCCCTAATTTGGTAGCACGACGGGGCTCCACCTCAAAAAATTGTGACGAATTACCTAAACAGGCTGTATCTAACGAAATGGATGGGAAATAGAGATCCCATTCTTTCGCCCGTGTTCACCAGAACTGACGTCGCTTGATTTTTGATTTTGTTCGTTTTGGCACTATTTAAGGGGTTAGGGGTAGTCAGAATTTTCAAAAAAAATCGATTTTTTTGACATTTTCTTAAAGTATAATATCTTAGAAATATTCTCGAAAGATTTGAAGTAAATCCGACAAATACTTTTCGAGTTATTCAAAAATTAGCAAAGGGGTTCTCAGGCCCTCTGGAACGTTCGAGAGCAGGTAGTTAGCAGCAGCTGCAAGCGACCGGTTCTCGGGTTCTGTTGTCATGATTGACTCACAAGTTTGATGTATATATACTATAGATGCAACGGATAGTTGTTTGGCCGGATAACGGATACCGGATATCCGGGGAGCTTCAAGGCCGGATAGCCGAATATCCGGCAGCCGAATATCCGGTCCAACGTCAAGCGCCTGATGTGAGGATTCGAACGTCGCGCAGGCGCAGCGAACGCGATTAGCAGGCCGAGGAAGATCGTCTTCTAACAGCGGTAGTTCATCGGGGTCTCCAATACCTATTAAAACAGTCAGAGAAACTAATTCAAATGTAACTTGCGAATGTCACGACACATTTTGGAATTGTTTTGATGAAGTAGCAAATGAAAACAATAGTCAATGTCGCGATCAGGAAAAAAAAACCCAATTGCAAACGAGATCGACTACTATTTGAAGAGTTCCAATTGATCGCAGCCGCGACCCTTACACTTGCTGGTCAGTTAACTCGAAACACTATCCATATTTAACCAAGTTTGCCAAATTGTATCTTTCAGCTGTTGCCTGCAAACTCTGAAAATTTGGTCTTTATTCACCATATTTTACCACTTATTAATTTTGACTATTAAAAGATAGTTTCAGGTTTTCAGAAGGTTTTTTTTTTGTTTTTTGTGACTTTTTGTGTTTTTGTAACATTTTCAGCTTTAAATAAAAGCAAGTCATACTTTTAAGCCATTTTGTTATTATTAATAATTATTATTATTTACCACAAAAAGATTTATGTATTAAAGTTGATTTCAGGGAATTGTTACGAATTGTGTCGTAATTATTGAATATCCGGTATCCGGCCGGATATTAGGCTACTATCCGACATCCGGCCGGATATTAAATTTAGGCCGGATAGGCCAAATACCGGATAGTTTCCGGATATCCGTTTCATCTCTAATATATACTTATACCTAACTATATAAACATCCAGTACGCTTTTGGTAGTTGCACTGAGCAGTCAATAGTTGTGTGTTGGAATAAATTATTTTTCAAGTAATTTTCCATGGGGCGTGATTCTAGAAAAGTTTCAAGAGAACTTCGGAGTTCTCAAAATATTCGTAAGTCGCGTTCAGTGAAAAGAAAAAATGTATTCAATCCGAAAACAGCGGAACGTGATGAGTGTCCAGAGTTATAAAAAAAAAGTTATAAAAAATTAAAACAAAACACTGTAGATGTACCCGAAAATAGGATTACAGAATTTCGAATAATAAATTTAATTACGGTATTCACTGCAATTTCTACTCTTGTTAAGTGTAAAAAATGTGATGGAAATGTACAGTTTCAAACAGCAAGTACACGTGGGCTGGGATTCAAAATTGTAGTTGCATGTGATAATTGTGGAAATTAATATGTTTCTTCCTGTTCTTTCGTAGGGCATTCTTACGAAATAAATAGACGCTTCATTTTCGTGATGAGAATACTAGGAATAGGATACGAAGGATTGTGCAAGTTTTGTGGCCCTGATGGACATGCCGGTTTTTTTAAGATAAATGTACGTATAAAATATTACTGAAACACGTATTAGATTGTAGTAAAACCGTCACAGAAGCCTTGATGAAAAAAGCTGTGAATGAAGAAAAATAAGCAATGGCAACAACTGAAAATACTAGTGATTTAACTGTATCAGGAGATGGAACCTGGCAAAAACGTGGATATACATCGTCATATGGAGTTTCTTCTATAATTGGCTATTCTACTGGAAAGATTCTTGATATAAACATTAAAAGTGCATATTGTAAACAATGTGAGTATTGGAAAAATAACATAAATACAACTGAGATCGCGGAATGGTATGAATCGCATGAAGATGAGTGTGCTGCTAATACAAAGGGTCTTTTGGGAAAATGGAGTTGGATGCGATGATCGAAATGTTTCAGCAGTCTGAAACAAAATATGGAGTTAAATATGCAAACTATATTGGCGATGGTGATTCAAAAACCTATTCAGGAATTATAAAAGCAGATCCTTACAAAAATACAACTGTAAATGAGAAGAAATGAATAAGGCATGTTCAGAAGCAGATGGGGACTCGATTACGTACACAGAAAACTAAACAAAAAGGTCTTGGACAAGTAATAGACAAATTAACTGTGTACGATGGTTTATTAATACGTCGACATTGTGACGCTACTGAATATGTGAAATCTGCTATAATGGCAACCTTTTATCACTACGACTCGGGTGATGAAAATCCGAATCATAGTATGTGTCCAAAAGATTCTTGGTGCTCTTATCAGCGCGCTGAAGCAAGTGGAGAGCTTACTACTTATACTCATGATTATTCTCCCTTACCTCCTGATGTTTTAGAAGCTATCAAGCCAATTTATGAAGATTTTAGTAATGACAATTTACTTTCAAGATGTGTAGGTGGATTCAATCAGAATAATAATGAGAGCTTCAACCAACTAGTGTGGAAAATATGACAAAAAAAGATAAAAACTAGTTTTACTATCGTTAAAATTGCTGCATACATAGCTGCTGGTATATTCAATGAAGGTACATAATCATTATTGATCATAATGAATACACTGGGAGTTGATTGTGGGCCTAATTCTCATCGGTATGCCGAAAAAACCGATACTGTACGTGTGAAAGTGGCAGATAAACGCGCTAACGACAACACTCGAGCAAGTAGAATGCTACGTAGACAACATCAAATAGATATTTTGGAAGTTGCTACAACGGCTGAAGAACTATTATATGGCCCAAGAATAGATGACTCTGTGTAAGTAATTAAATAATACGTATTACTTTACGTAAATTGAGTGTAAAACTTCAAATGCGTTTTTCTCAAAACTATGTTTTTTGAATTGGTGACCACTGTAGCTCGAAAACCGCTCGGTAGATTTTAATAAAATTTATACAGCTTTTTAAAAACATGAAAAACTAGTGTCTGATCAAAGGATTTTTTTTAATTTCGGTTTTTTGTAAACAATTAACTGTTGGTTAATTAAAAAAAAAAGCTTAGATCAGGCACTAGATTATCTATTAATGAAAATAATTTTTTTGTCCGAATGATTTTAGATGAATCTCCAAGGATAAGTGATGGTCACCACAAGGAGCTTCGGTTGAAACTGGATCAACACAAAGTCATTACTTTTAAAATTATTTTTTTTTTCTAAAATGTCTGTCAAGTCGAAACCTTATTTAATGATGCTATGTTTTTACTTTTATAAAATAAAATAATTTACTGGCAAAAAAATATTTAAAATTGTCATTTTTTCATGTCTCTGACTAGACCTTACCCCTTAAAGAATTTTACATATTAAGTGTACTCTGCTAACTTAGATATAAACTAGAAGATTTAATTCGCTTAGGTTGCCAAACACTAACCAGAGATATGATAATTTGGTCATGGAATAGAGCGATAATTCGCTGTATGGAGGTTTATGTGCAGTCTGGTAATGTACATTTTCAACATTTGTTAAATTGATGATTTTTACTTATCGTATTAATTGTATTTGTCTATTGCCTATCCATTTTTAATATGTTAGCGTTAAATTTTTTTATGCTGAGGCTTACTTTGTACTAGCGTCTGGCACCTACAATAATACTAACATTACTTATACCAACGAGTAAATAACCTTTACAGTATTTTAAGACATACTGTAGCTTGGATTATTGAATAAGGTTGATTTAGGCCCTTAAGTACAGCGTAAGCTTAAGTGTAGTAAATAATGATCTGCGTAGTTTAAAATAAATAAATTTAATCCATGTTTTGCTCTACCTTCAACACTTTTTCGAAAAAACAGTTAAAAATTACTGCTCCCTCAACCTAACTCAGAAAGTATGTAGATTAAAAGAGAATTATCAGATTGCATTACATTAGATTTTTTTACAAAAGTAGTGATAGTATGTATCATTGCATAGCCTAATTATCAACTTTACTTATTGAGAACAACTACGAGGATGTATCAGAAAATAACGAGACTGGTGCTATAGTATAACAACGAAACATTTATTTAAAAAAATTCAACAACTATCCTTCGAAGTACTCTCCATTCTGTTGAATACACTTATTCCATCGCTTTATCCACTTATCATAAACTTCTGAGAAACCATTTTTTGATAGTGTGTTTAGTATACCCATCACAGCGTTGTTGAGCTCTAAATCCGACTCAAATCTTCTACCTCTCAATTCTTTTTTGACTTCAGGAAACAAATGGAAGTCACATGGAGCAAGGTCAGGAGAGTAGGGGGGATGAACCATAATTTCAACCCCTAATTCTTCAATTGTTCGTTGACAAATCTTTGATCTATGAGCCGGAGAATTGTCGTGATGCAGCGTCCAGCCAAAGTCCTGATAAAGCGGCCTTTTTTTCTTTAATTTTGCCTTTAAGGGTCCTCGAAGTACATTAGAATAGTACTCCCCTGTTACTGTATGTCCTCTAGGTACAATGTGATCGTAAATAACGCCAAATTTATCAAAAAAAATCAGGTGCATCACTTTACCAGCGCTTTTAGCAGTTTTGGCCTTCTGCGGTCTTGGGCTGCCTTTATGCTTCCATTGCATACTTTGAGACTTCAATTCAGGATCGTAATAATAAAACCAACTTTCGTCACATGTAACCACATTATTTAAAAACTGTGGGTTACGTTGCAATTGGCTTTTCCACTCCTGACAAATTGTCACTCGATTCGCTTTTTGTTCATCGGTCATCACTTTTGGAATCCATCTTGCCGCGATCTTCCGGTACTCTAAATCTTCATGAATCATTTTTTGAGTGGTACCGTAAGACAAATTAACATTGTCAGAAATTCGTTTTATGCCAATCCGGCGATCATTTTGTATCAAGTCGTTAATTTCTGCAATTTTTGTGCCATTTCTCGCAGTTTGTGGTCGACCGGGTCGAGGTTCATCTTCAACTGATTCACAACCGTCTTTAAACTTTATATGCCACTCAAACACTACATCGTGATAAACTATTATCTAGATATGTACCTTTAATCATTTCAAAAGTTTCAGTTGGTGTTTTACCCAATCGAACACAAAATTTTATCGCGTATCTTTGCTCCACTTTCATTTTTCGATGGGTACGCAAAACACTGACAATTCAATAATTAATTTGTAACAAATGTCAAAAGTTAAATCAAAGCCTACTTGCGGGGTAGTACATTAAATACAAGGCTTTCATGTCTCATTTTTTGGGTCATAAAATGTTACCTCTGAAAGAAGTTATAGCACCAGTCTCGTTATATACTGATATATCCTCGTACGGTATGAAACACTATTGTGCAAGTATTTATTTAGCTGAAACTTTTTTCCAAAATCATATTAGAAACATTGTAGATCAAGAGAAAGTATCAAACTTGTAGTTTGAAATATTTCAGTATAAACTGAATGGTTCTACTTTTATTCCTTAATTTCGTCGGCTTACAAGCAAAAAACACAAAGTCAGATTAGATGAAAAATCCATTAAGTTACTTAATTTATTTTTCCACAACAAAATAATGCTATTATGGACTTAATGAATAATAAAATAATTTAAAAATAAAGTTATAATTCTTAGAGGAAATAATGGATTTTACTAGTATATAGAGTAAAACAAATCCATTCAAATGATGTAAATAAGTCAAAAATAACAAAACAATTGACTTAGTGTGTTTTGCTTGTAACCGACAATTATTTATAAACAGTTAAAATACTGAAAAATATAACCTGGTATTATCAGTCTAGTTTGGAATAAATACTTTAGGGTATTAATATTATTGGCCTCTCCCATAACATAAACCACATCTAAGTGTCATTATTAATTCATAAATTGAGCCCGACAAAATTAGAAAATCTTTATAATAGTTTTTTTCTAAAATAAAAAATATTTTTTATTATTTAATTATCAAATAAAAAGGTATTTTTCATAATACAAAGGATACTTAATATTAATAAAAGTAGCACTTGGTTAAAAGACTTAATAATAGCTAGAAATGAGTTGTAATTAACGAAATTAATGGTTTGCTCCTTTTCGATGACGTTCGTTCTTAATTAAAGGAAATCCAGTTGAACAAATTAATAGAATAAATACAGTACTAATAAATTTTTTTTTCTGTATTCTAAATTATTAATCCGTTTATTAAGCTTTTCTTTGTATTACATGATATAAAAAAGCGCTATTCCAAGTCATTTTTGTTCGAATACACACAACATACATCAATAAGTTTAGACCATTTTAAAAATATAATAAAAAAATAAATAAAAATGGTCGGCGTCATAATGAATGGTGGCACTGCCAATGCTCTACTTCTCCTCTTTCCCCCTATCCCACCCCTATATCCCCCCTCTTGCATCTATATTCTATTCGCCCCCTATATTTAACCCCTCTTTATCCCTATCTCGCCCCTCTCCCCATTATTTTCCCCTAACCCTCTCCCCCCCTGTCGTTCTTAAGTGACTAGTAAGTGTTTTTCTACAAAAATTGGCGAAATAGTATACAAAATTGTAAAAAAGTACAAAAGTTTGGGAGGTAAAAACTAAAAAAGTAGAATTTGCATTTTCCCGGGTGTAGAGCGAGATATTATAAATTTTTATAACACAAGAGCAAGGAAGGGAATAAGTTAAAAGTGGTGTCATACGATGAAAACAAATAACAAGTGACCGAATAAAATAAATAATTCTATCTCGACTACGATTAGGACATCCTCAGAGATGATCCTCCAAAATGTTAAGAATGTAATGTCACTCTCTCAGTAAAACACCTTTTGATCGAGTGCAATAACTTCAGGGAAGAACGACCAAGGCATCAACTCCCTAACAACTTAAGAGACCTATTTGTTAAACATTATTAAGATAATTTTAGAAAGTCAATTAGTTGATAAGTCAACTAATTGACTTTCTAAAATCTATAGATATTCTAGATGAAATTTAAACTTATTTTGTCTATAATTTTTTTATTATTATTAAAATTAACGTGTCTCAACATCGACTGTTATTGACATATATACAACAGTTTACAAAAGGTTACAGGTGTAAATCAAGTATAAATAAAGTTAGGGAATATCAGCAGTTTAAACAAATAACATAAAATAAACTTAAATTAGGTTGTATAACTTTGTCTCTTTTAAAAACTCAATTATATTTTTGAAGCCAGACGGCGAATGTTTTCTTCGCGAAGCTTGGTAGAATGGACAGTTTATTAGAATGTGATTTACTGTGATTCGGACACTGTTACAATGTTCACATAAGGGAGGAGTTTCCGTAGGCAGTCTTCTTATGATTAATTTTTCTGTTCTGATCATTGTGGGCATGTCGAAAGTTCTGGTGGACTGTTGGACAGCATGAAGTGTGGTGTTTTTGTATTCCAAATATTTTATGATTTGGTTTAAGTGCCTTGTTTGAGACTGGTTTAAGGTCTTTATATTTGGTTAGGAATTTTTCTTTAGCGGCTTGATCAGGTATTTCGTTCTCCAGGATTTCTACGAAACATGG